GAGGGAGGGAGGGAGGGAGGGAGGCAGGCAGGCAGGCAGGCAGGCAGGCAGGCAGGCAGGCAGGCAGGCAGGCAGAGAATTCAGAAGAGCAAGCTTGCTTTCCTTTCTTCATAAACCCATTGCCTCACGAGCCAAAGGGTCTGGCATCTTTTTATCTTTTCAATTTCCACTTGGCTCCTGCGATAAGGGCTACCTTAGTATTCCTCAAAAACGCCACCTTGCAGTTTTCTGAGCCTGTTCTATTTCTTTTGTAAGATTTATGTTTTAGTGTGTGTTGTATCGATGTGAGTGTATGCCACCCGTGTGTGGATGCCTGTGGAGGCCAGAAAAGGATGTCAGATCCCTCTGTCACAGTGGTTCTCAGCCTTCCTAATGCTGTGACCCTTTAATACAGTTCTTCATGGTGGGCTGACCCCCCACCCAAGCATAACTTTATGTGGTTGCTACTTCAGAACTGTAATTTTGCTCCTATTATGAATCATAATATAAACATCTGATATGCAGGCTATCTGACATACAGCCCCCAGAGGAGTAACGACCCCCGGTTGAGAACCGCGGCTCTAGAGCTGGAGTTACAGGGGTTGTAAGCCAGCCATTGGTGGTGCTGAGAACAGAACTCGGCCTCGGGAAGAAAAGCTCTCTTAAGTGCTGAGCCCTTTCTCCGGCCCTTGGGGCCTCTTTCTTGTTCCTTCTATCTGGAATACTCTGGGCCCAGACTTTGACTTCCTGTTTCCTCTTGCTCACTGTCTGTATTCAAATGCTATCTGTTGGGAAAGTCTTTGGGTGTCTTCATGGTGCTTTCTCCTAAACAGGTCTTGGTTTAATGGAGCTTAGTTCATCAATCTCTCCGTTAGTGTCCACCCATCTCAAGCTATTGTCTGTCATCATGACTTCCACAGTAGCTCGTGTCACTATCAGGAATATGGAAACTATTGCCTCTTCTCCTCCACTAGAACTTCAATTTCATGAGTGCAAGGCTTTTGTCTGACTCAACCCGGTGACCCACATTCAGGACTCCCACAGTCGTCCTCTGACCACACGGCTGCTAACACACGCATGCACACGAAAAATGCTTTAGATTAAAAACCTTAGAGATACATACATAATTTAAAAGTTTTAAACCTGAAAAATCAATCCTTTTTAAGCAAAAATTAAAACTAAGAAAGATAAATAAATAATAAATAGTCATCACATGTGAGGAAGGCCACAAGGTAGAGAAAAGGAATAGATTAAAGCATGCTCTAGCATTTCATCAGTAATGCACAGGTCTGTGTCTTAAATAGTAGCTCTACTACATAGGAAACAGCTCAGCTCAGCTCTTCTCAATCCAGTGCTCGTGTGATTTTTTTGGAGACAGGATCTCATCATAGAACCCAAACTGGACAGAACTCACATATTCCTGTCTGTCTGCCTCCCTGATGCTGGAATTACAGACCTGTGTCCTCATGCCCAGCTCTCAAGTAATCTCTTTTTTCAGAGTGCCTGACAGCAAGACAGAAAGCCTATCTTCCTGTTTGTTTCGTCTCAACCCATTCACAAACATGAACCATTTACAGATGAAGGAAGCTCTTCATAACACAACTCATTCAATGTCCTACAGCAAGCGCACAACAGTGGACTCTCTGAACGGAAGCTTAAGAAGCACAAGGACTTTGTTTTTGTGTGTATACTCTGACACAATTGATCAATATTTGCTGAGCAACTGGAAAGCTATTTGGCAGTTTCTGACAAGTGATTCACTTGTGACATTACAGTGCCCTCTGCTGGTTCCACTTATAGTGCAAGTAGCCTACTTGGTATCTCCTATCACATAACAGAAATCACACTGGAGTAATTCCTACTGGGTTTACTGTACCATCTGTCAATCTATCACCTTCCTTAGTTCCTGAAGTCAACTCAAACATTTCAAGAATTTGCAAATTCTGCTGTTTTCCCGTAGGCTACATGGAAAGCAAGATAAGAAGCCTAAGTAACCTGCATGTCAACCTGACTCCCCTTAACGTTTATGAGGTCTTTCTAAAATTATGGTAGTGATAGGATACAGTAATATCTGTAGAGGGTTTTTAAGATTTAAGAATATTCTTGGCAAAATACAAAAAATGGGTAAGAAAAGATTTATGCTCTACTTTTAAATTTTCTACTATCTGATAATATTGTTTAATATGCAATATAGTTTAAATAGTTAAGGACTGCTGCAATTTTTAAAAATTAGTGTATTACTTTAAATTATCATTTTATAAAGGAAATTAAATATGCTTTCTAACCAGTATTTGAGAAAAAACTACCATAGGCTAAAAATTATATATAGATTCCACTTTTTATTAAAATATCTTAATTGTGGGAAAAAATGAGTTTCATTATGACATAATGTATGTAATCATATTCAAGCCACCAATTACCCTGTCTGTAGAATACCAATAGGAAAAAGAACCTCATTAGGAAGAACTCTTGCATTACCTTGCACATTCCCTTCTTTGAACCCCAAAGCACAGGGAGGGCTTGCAACAGTGAGGTGACTTTTAGACAGAAAAACTAAAACTTGTCAATCAGTTTCCTATGCTGCTACTCAATAAAAATCAGAACTTCTGTCCAATTTATGATCGAATGAAACTTTAATGATTGTGACAGACCAGCTTGCAAGCAGCCACATTTGGCCCTCAGTTTCTAGTGGCAGAAACAGTGGTACACAGTGGATGAGCAGCCAGCGTGGCTTCCCGGGTGTGTAAGCTTTAGCTTCAGTCTCTTCGTTTGTGAAATGAGGATTTTATTAACTGATCTAGGAGGCTCTTTGCAGTTCAGAGCTGCTATGATTTTTAATGGAACAGTTGTTTCGGTCTTGTTTAGACTAAAACAACCCTGCAATGTTGTGTTTTATCTGTTGCACTTACTCGAAAGCTACCACGATGTGCAACCTTATTCAGAAAACGAAAACAAAACTAGAAAACTGTGTTACAGTAGACTGACTATAATTTTATTTTAAAGGATAATCGTCTAGATCTCTAAGATAAAACATATTTTCAAAAAAAAAACAAACAAAAATTCACAAATTATATTAAAACTCTACAAACTAAAACACTATTTCTCATTTTGACGAGGCAGTGAGTTCCTTATATGATCTCTTTATGCCTGTGATGATTGTACACGTCTTATAAGAAGGAGGTCCTAAATAATGAATCATTCTCTAGATCAGTGGTTCTCAACCTTCTTAATACTGTGATTCTTCAATACAGTTCCTCATGTTGTGGTGACCCCCCCAACCATAAAATTATTTTTGTTGCTGCTTCATAACTGTAATTTTGTTACTGCTATGAATCAGAATGTAAATATCTGTGTTTTCTGATGGCCTTAGGTGACCCCTGTGAAAGGTCATTTGACCCCAGAGGGGTCACAACCCACAGGTTGAGAACCACTGCTCTAGATGCCTGTGATGTCAGTATAGATTCTGTCCATATGGACAACAGCAACAGACAGAACAGTGGGCATTGAGCATTTCTACAATCAAAATTGAAATGTTATTTGTCATTTATAAGTAACACCAAAATATTAGCATGTCCTCAAAACATGACATTCCAGCGTTAGCTACTTACTTGATGGCCCAAGGACATCTTTGCTATCACCAAGAAGCTTTTAATGCAGAGGGATTGAGCAGCAAACACACACAATCCAAACCAGGAAGAAGCAGACACCGGACGGAAGCGGCAGTGAGACAAAAGGACAAGAGGAACAGCGTTAGTCTGTGAGTAGGAAGCGCATGCACATTAATGTCAATCATTGTAATTTATAAGACATTTCCTTCTCTACACCCAAAGACTCTTGGCTTAGGCAATACCAAATACTTGTTTTAACTTGGGGAAGTGAAGAGAAAACGGAATCACCAAAGTGTGTTGCTTTGCAATGACTCCAGTCAAAAGTTCCTTTGATTCCAATCAAGGTAGGAATTAGCAGTAAAGCTTGTTCAGAAAACTAAGAGCTCTGAGCATTCATCCTTTTAAATTTAAAGCTTTAAAACTACTTACCATTCATACTCTACTAAACATTAGCTATGATGCCATCAGAGCACTCTCTACAGAGATTAAGTCTTATACAAAAAAGCAGAATCTTTACTTGGTGCTTATTATATGGCAAGTATGATGCAAACAGTTTCCACAAAAACAACAACAAAATACATCATTTTTAACCAAACAGCAAAAATAAAAAGGAAAGAGAAACAGTTATTGTCAGATTTATTCCTCAAGCATAAGTTTTAAATCAGACATAATTTTCTTAGGACTTGCAGAATCTAGAGCTACTCGTCCTTCAGGAAGTCAGAGGACATTCCATACCTCCCAACCCCAACACAGCCTCACTAAGTAACCTAGGCTGGCCTCAATCCCACAGTCCTCCTCCAACCTCCCATGTTCTTCCGTACCAAGTCCCAGATTCAGTTCTTTAATGAAGACGTTAAAATGAACATCAACAGAAAAGGGCTGTAGACCTCTATCTGGAAACGCTTTTTAACCTACAGTATCACGGCCTCCCTCGGTGGGTACACAGCTCTCAGCATCCTGCACTTCATACACCAAACTGAAAACTTCCCACTGATCACATTGTTTCTGGACACAGTGACTGAACAAGGTGAGCTGTGTGCTTCATGCTTCTGTCACCTCCTTGGAGAAATTCTCCTACCTGTCACTTTCCTAAAGTGATAGCTATTGAGCAATTCTGGATATCATGTTCTAGTGTCTATTTTTCTTCAGATGCCAATCCATGCTTATTCTTCTATGAACTGATTTCAGTTTCACAGAATACAGCTCTGCTGACAATGAACTCATTGTGCTCCGGTCCTTATTAAAACAGCAAGCTTGAGGGAGGAGATTATAAGGGGTGAAGGATTAAAGTATTTGTGAATCAGGGATGGAGACTTGGCTCAGCTGTAGAGAGCACCTGAGTCCACAACCACCTGTAACTCCAGCTCCAGAGAATTCACTTCTGGACTCTGCAGGCACCTGCATTCACACATGCACAGACCCACAAAAAAAGGCACACACACAAACACGTAATTTCCATAAAAAATAAATCTTAAAAACTAAAACACCAAAGTATATGTGAAGATGATGGCAGCCAGTGGTCCTTCTTCCCTTTTCTCCCGGAGTGTGCAGACCTGCTGCATTTCCTTTCGCTAGTTTTGCTTGGGGGCAGGAGGTCTAGGCTTGGTTTGAACACAGTGAGTGCCCAGGCTGTTCTGAATCCCTTCGTCTTTCTGCCTCGGCTCCTAGACTGTAAGCAGGTACCACCATGCCTCGCTCTCTACTCATAAAGAGAAAACGGCAAAAGGATGGTGGCCTCTTGAGATCAGGTCTTGGTTCCAGCACTCTCTCATGGTCAGTCTCTAGATGGCTCTCCTCTCGGTAGCCTTGCAGAGAGGCCTGCCAGGCAAACGCTGAGGTGAGGCACTAAATGGAGTTGAAGAGGATCTCTCCTCTCCAGCCAATCAAGTTTTCAGTGGAGTTAACAGTAGAATTCTCCCCCTAATCCTAACTGCAACCAATTGCTCTTGGATTCCTGAGTCATAAAGTTTGAAAGAAATACTCTGTTTAATATGACTTAATTCTGGGATCACTTATGAGACAATAAATCTATAAATAAATAACACTGGAAAACTGTAAAAAGCCAGGAAGCTGACAGAGACAAGTACAGCCAACTTTAAAAATGCTTCAAATGAATCATCCATATTTAAAAATCTTCCTGCAATGAGAAATTTAGAGAAAACCTATATTTATTTGTCTTAAAACGACCCCCTCCAAAAAATTCTAAAACAAACTAAAGGAAATACAGCAGTTTGCATCCTCTGGGAGAGAATGGGGTTGTTCACCAGGGAATAAGACCAAGCAGTGGGTGTCATTTTGGATTATCACAAATATTTTTGTCTTTCTAATTTCTTAGATTTTTTTTTTACTATTATTTATTTTCCCCTAGATTTACCAGTAACTTCACAAAGGAAAACTGTAGTTTTAATCACACAAAAGCACACAAGAGCAAGAACATGTGTGCACATGTACACATACCAAAAAAATTTTTTAATTTTACAAACCTATGTATTTGAAGGTTTTAGAATCCATCTTCTATTTGGAGTAAAAGATTAATAAGCTTATTCACTGTACAGTTTTGTTTTATATTCTCCAATTCTGTTGGTTAACAGGCCTGTGCTGACTTTTGTGCAGTTTCTATTCCTTACCTGTTCACTCTCAAAAACTAACTTCTAACATAGACAATAACCGTAGGTATTGTTCCAAAAACTGTATTATAATATTAACATTATACCTTTTAGCATGTCTGTGCCATTTATATCTTATCCCACTAGATTAATCCTAACTTGTTCAGTTTGACACAGTGACTGATGACCTGAAATACATACTATCAATACATCCAATAAATGTTTACTGAGAAACAACTAGAGACATATATCATTTTAAGCACCAAAGGATAATAGCAGTAAACAGACAAAAACTCTGTCCTAGGCTGGGGTTTGTACCTCAGTGGTAGCCTGTGCCTACCTCTGGCCCTGGGTTTGACCCACACACCACCAAAATCAGAATTCTGTCAAAGTAGTATTTCAGTTTTGGAGGAGAAAACATATAAGACCATAATAAATACTACGTGGTTTAAAAGTAAAAGGAGAAGATATGCACAGAGCAGGGGCATACTGAGCCTCAGAGGAGAGGAGCTGCAGACCAGACAGGCAGCCTAAGATCACCCTACCACAGTCCTCAACAAAGAAGATAAGGAAAACTGCCAGAAAGGATTCTGCAGGGAACGAAAAGTAAATACAGAGGACTGGGAGGTGAGCCAGTGCCCAAGGCCTGGGCACCAGTGTGAATGCAGAAGCCAGGCCGCATCAGGAAAGTAAAGAGGGATTACACTGAAGTCCATGAGGCAAAGAGACGCCAGATTATGGAAGTCTTTGCATGGCCTCAGTCAGACTTTGGTTGCGTTTTGAATAGGATTAGGGAAGCGATAAATGGTTTTGAGAAAGGGACTGACTTGGTCTGATTCTGTTTTAGCAGGATTGTTCCAACTTGTTATTTTGAAAATACTGTAAGAACAGGAGTATAAATGGAGTTTACTGAAACAATCTGGGGTAACACAGCAGCAGCAATGCAGGTGATGAAAGGTTATTCAGTTCTACAGCAGGAGGATTTCCAAGCAGACCAAGTGCAAGACAAGAAAGAAGGAGCCAAGATCATCTCAAGTAGTCTGAATTGAGCACCTGCCTGATGGAAATGCCACCAGCTGACCAGCTGTGTTATAAGAGAACACCAAGGAGCTCGGGAAGGCTACATGTGAGACGTCTGTTAAGATATCCAAGTGGATGCCAAGAAGGCAGCTGTATATACGAAGTCAGTACAGAGAAAGAAACGTTCAAGCTGGTAGAAGAAGCACAAATGGTGGTGTGTGTGAGTTCGGTTTATGACCTGACTGCCTTGGTCACTGACAACTGACAAATGTCACAGTATAAAGGAACAGGCACCAGAAAACCAACGAATACTGGACAATAAATCTACGACTCCAGTGACAGCACTCCCAAGCAAGCTGAAACATTATGAGAACAAAGCATGTCTTCCGAACACTGCCCAGGAAGGTGTGGACAGGAGGCATTCCATCGGATGTCAGTAAACCGTCCTCCCAAGCCACCGGAGAATGATGCTAACAGAATGGGGAACAAGTGAGCATCTTCCTGTCAAGTAACTTTCTTCCCTGAGGAGACACTAATGTGTTGGCTTTTCGTTTGGGGGATACAGTACCACGTTGTGTAATACAGAAAAACTGTGCAATAACTAATGTGGAATAACTCTACACAAGTATCCGGTACCTTTTTTATAAGCTGGGCACTCTATGGCTTTAGCTAAAGTACTAAAATACTACACACATCTCAGAGAATCCAGAAACTTCTTAGAGTGAAAAACCATTAAGATAGGACGAAACATTTTCTTTTTAATCAATAAATAGCCAAACTCATTTCCATAATGTTACAGAAATAAATCTTCTAATATGACTGAAAATAGTTTTAAAAAACTAATATGACTGAAAATTTTTATTTGGGAATTTGTGTGCTACAAAGCACTTTCATTAAAATCACTTAATATTTACAAGAATTATTTAAATTAGTCTGACTCTCATAAAAAGAGTGCTATATCTAATGGTACTGTATGCCACTGAATCTCTGCGTAGTCCACCTTTAAGAAACACAAAGGACATGTAGAAGGCTATCACTGTGCCCTTCAACCTAAGTCTCAGTCAAAGCAAGGCAGCAGTCACCCGGAGGCACAGAAACGACTCCCTGGGACGGGCTGTGGTTTGGATGCACAGCTTTAAGCGGTCCTTTCTTCCGTGTGTACACACTAGCTTGACTTCAGCCCTTTGGTGGCGGAGGGGGAAGCACAGAGAGCACCCAGCAGGGACACAGCTGGCGCACCTCTCTCTCCCCCTACAGTTCGCTCCTCAGTCGTTCTGGAAGCAGTCCTGCCGCTGCGGCAGCTCCCAGAGCCCACACTTGCAGGGATTACACAAGGCATCCAGGGCGTTCTCTTCAGTGTTATCTTTGGCTCCGAGAATAAGAAACTTCAGTGAAGGATATATGTTGCAGCTGGGAGCTCCTTGTTCTTAGAACAGGAGTCATCACTCTCTCCTGAGCTTGAATTTCTCATATTCCTCTAATCTGCAAAACTGTGCCCGTTTTATACTTGAGCTTTACATGAAAGATTTTAAACCCCCCCCCCCCCAAGAACTTGAGCTTATCACTGATGGCTAGAGAATATACTGTGGTCCACTCGGTACTTTCCCATTTTTATATCACTTAATATAAGACAAACACGTATAAACTTAGGAAAGATACACCAAAACATTAACAGTGGTTATATTTGGGCGGCAGAGCTTTACTTATTACGGTTTTATGTATTATTTAATTATGGTACACTACTATGCATTACTTTTATAGTGAAAACTAAGAAGTGGAAACAAAATTTTAAACTGATTCTTCTAGCTTCACTTGCTGTGTTGTATAATGACAATGTACAAAGTGTAGTGGGAAATATCCACTTCCAACTTGAAATCATAGAAAAACAAATGTTAGCATCTTAAACACAGGATCATACATTACTCACTGTCTCTTGAACTTCAGCAACTTCTGAGTATGGCATGATCTAAAAAACAAACAAAGTTTCTCAGGAGCACTGTAATCTCCAATACCTGAGGTCTGAAATGACAGAGTACCCAGAATTTACAAAGGACTTAAGTGAGGAAACAGCATTCCCTAAAGTAACATTTAAAGGAAGGTAAAGGGGTTCAAGAGTACTTTCACACTAGGAATTAAACCCTTCACTTTTTTCTTTTAAATTCTGTGGCTTCAGGAAATTGCCATCTGTCAAGCTAGGGAGTTCTCCAGAACACTCCAGAAGGAATTTCATGTTGGGTATTTCCTGCTTGTACTAGTGTGACCCTGTCTTAGTGCCCTGTGTCCTCTCAGTGGGTGAGCGGTCCCAGATGAGGCCTCCAGGTCTGCTGGTCTCTTCTGCAGACGGAGCTGACCTTCCAACACTTCTACCCATGCACTGGGACATTGTCGGGAATGCACTTCTAGTTCCAAAAGTCTGTTAGAAAGGAAGGCTTTTAGGCTATTTTAGAAAGCACTTTTTTGGCAAAAATAACCCTGATTACTCTCTCTCAGAAACCAGTCCCTATACCCACTTACCCCGTATTTGACCTGCTCAGACAGCTCACCCCTCCCAGCTCTAATGCAGTCACTAAGTTCTGATTCTTCTCCTCTACACTGTTCTAGTTCACACCCAGTCTTCGCTTTAATTTCCCACTAATATGCCCTGCCATCTCTCAGCTTGTTCCTCCCCCTTTCAAAAGCTGCACCCACAATGACTGTTAGCCCACTCATTCATTAACCTTGCTAGATATTGAAATTCAAAAAGTAATAAAAATATGCTTCCTACTGCCAAGACTAACCGTGTGTGTTGTGTTCACCTGACACTGAGATGCGCTGTAATTGGACTACTCAATTTTGATCATTCTTCAAGCCAGCCCGTGAACTCCTGTGATGTTTCTTTCTCCTCTGTGACTGCATTGGTCGTTCAACTTTCTCACTCTCTGGAGCTACCGTGAAGCTTCCTAACAATCTGTTTAAGTATACAGTCCGGTGTCCTTTCAAAGTACGACAACACAAAGAACTGATCTGACAGTATTCAACCTAAGATAATTTCCTAAACGATCATGCTGACTGTGTTATTCCCCTAGTCAAAAACATCTGATACACTGTTCTGTACAAAATAAGCCTCAAACTCTGGTGTTTAAAATCTACAATTCAGCTAAATGATTCAGCCCACAGCAATGTTCTGATCTCCTGTAAGAAAGCCCTGAAACTCCACTTACTCCACTTTCAGGCAGTTTTGGCTGCCAGAACTGACTGTACAGTGATTTGTAACCTGTGCCCCCCACCCCCCACCCCAACTTTTCTTTTTGTTTAGCTGTCTAAATTTGAAAATCCTCTCATCTTGGTGGCTCAATTACATAACTACTTCTGTTGCCCAAATCCAATCTGGAGGTATCCTTCCCAGTCTCCGGCTTCTTCGGAGAATTTTCCTTACTGCTTAGTGTATAAACATGACACTCCATCTGTATTGCCACTGCATCCTTCTGTTATCATCAGACAGGGCTGTGACAGAGCCCAGTGCCATCTATTCCTTCAAACATTGGCCCTGCACCTAGCAGTTAAACCCAACCACCAGGCGACTCAACAGACGCCCACTGTCACTTCTCTGTGCTTAGAACACCCTTGTAACCAGGCCTGGTTGTGCAGACCTGTAGCTCCAGCTACTTAGCAAGCTGAGGCAGGAGGATTACAAATTCAAGGCTTGCCTAAGCTACAGAATGAGTACAAGGACAGCCTGGGGAACTTAAGCACATTCAGATCTTATTCCCAAATAAAATGTATGAGAATGGACAGAGCACTTTCCTAGCATGCATAAGGCCCCATGTTCATTCTCCACCAGAGGAGGAGGGCTAAGGGAAGGTGGGTAAATCCTCAAGATTCTGCTCCGGAGCTGCTCCACCAGAAGACATGCTTTACAGTCCACTCCTTAGTCTACAGTCTATCACTCTCTCTCCTCCCCACCATGCTTTAGTTTTCATCACATTAACACAGGACATAGTTTTATCTTGCACCATTCAGATATTCCACTGGAGCGAGAAGTGGGTCTCTTTTGTTCACTGCTGTATTCCTTAAAGCAACAAGAAAACCTAGCACATTAAAGACACTCAACAAACAACGAATGAGTAAGTGCGTAAGTGAAAAGAAAAGGCTTAATAATTACTATAAACTCGATAAACAGTAACACTTCTAAAATATTATTGTTGGGGGAATGGGGGTGCTCTTCCACAAAGTTGGGGGGGTAGAGGACAACTCTGTAGAGTCAGTTCTCTCCATCCACCTTTACATGGGTGCTAAGGTCAAACTCAGGTCATCAGGCTCTTGTAGCAAGACCTTTCTCCAGTGAGCCACCTTACCACGCCCATGGGAGAAATGTATTCCTCATGTGTGGTTTTCTGCATTCCTGTCTACTGAAGGACTAGTTCAATTGCTCAAGTCTTGCCCATCTTTTTTTTTTATTTCCACAGATGTTAATGTAGTGCATGCCTAATGTCTTAGGGTTGCTGTTACCATGATGGAACACTATGACCAAAGCACCTTGGAGAGGAAAGGGTTTACTTGGCTTGTGTTTCCTTATCACTGGTCATCACTGAAGCAGGCAGGAAAGGAACTCACAAGGCAGGAACCTGGGAGCGAGGAGCTGATGCAGGGGCCATGGAAGAGTCCCGCTGCTGGCTTGTCTCCTATGGTTCACTCAGCCTGCTCTCTTATGGAACCCAGGACTGCCAGCCCAGAGATGGTACCTCCCCCTGGGGACTGGGCCCTCACCCCATCAATCACTGACCAAGAAAATGCCCTACAAGCTTGCCTGCAACCAGATTTTATGGAGGCATTTTCTCAGTTGAGGTTTCCTCTTCTCAGATGACTCTAGCTTGTGTCAAGCTGATATAAAACTAGTCAGCACATCTAATATGACACACAAAGAATTAACACAGAGTGTAAGAATAAACTCTGAGTTTCTCTTTTTATGTCTTAAGACAGCCAAGCCACGAACTAGTAGTAGAGAGTGATAAGTAGCAGAAGGTGACCTTGAACTTCTAATCTTCCTGCTTCTACCTCTAGAGTTTATAAAGTCTGAATTATAAGCCAAACTTTATAACAATGTAAAAGTTATAGCCTTGAAGAGTTATCTTGAATTTAGTTTTTCTTATTTGCTCAAAAGATCAAGTCAATTCCTAAAATTTTGTTACCACTAATATTTCAACACAGAAACTGGCCCAATCCTAACTAAGAACATCCTTAGTTTTCATCCACGACATAGTCAAATTTTCTCCCATTATTACTCTTTAGATTCTATACTGATTTATCAAGCTATATCCACTTTTAGTAATGGAGCATAAATGGCAATTCTTCTGGTGCTGGTAGCTTCTCGCCATAACTAAACTCACCTCCTTCATCAAAGTCCTTACACAGAGAGCAGCTCAAAACTGATCAACATGATTTTCCTCTGTAACTTGTGCCATTCAAATGGGGGGCGGGGGAACAGGAAGAAAGCTGTGGTTATAAAACAAGGAAAATGTGTTTGCTGTCCACGGAATGACTAAACCTGCGAACCTAGCCTTTGACCTCATGAAACATTTTCCTCTAAATCTGACCAACCAGTTCAGATTAACTCAATCAACCAGTTACCTGGAAAGGTTATGGAAACAATACAACCCAAATCGTATTATCATACCACAATCACACCAGGTAAGATATGAGAACCGGTTATATCAGAAATGCAGGTAATATTTCAGAGTTGATCTTAACAACATAAGCTTAATCTTACAACGGGTTTAAATTGTTTCAATTTTCAGTCTGAAAGAAGAACTTACCTAACCTAGATTTTTAGCTGGCAAATCATTTGCCTTGTTTACACAAATACATGGATTTTATGTTTGAGTGAGTCAAGACCAAGATGTGAAAGAAGACATAAAAACAAAAATCTTCTCAGCTTCTGGAAGTCTATTCTCTTTCTAAAGATTGCTGCATAAACGAGTATACTCATCCATAAACTTGTATACCTTGCTGAGTATTATCAGCCACAAACAAGACTGCTAATGCTATGGAAATGGTGGTCTCTGTACTTCCAACTCTACCACAGATAAGAAAGCAGTTGCTGGTTCTTCAGGTCTCAGAAACAATGTAGTGCCCAAGGATCAACATAAACCTCGGACACAAAGTCACAATTAGCTACCAGAGCAACACCCTGGAAATGATCATGTACCACATCACTTTCAAAGTGTGCGTTATAATAATACAAAATACTTTAAAAGAATGCTTCAAAGAGCAAGTGTAATATAAAGTTTCTGACATAGTATCTGTCTTTGCACGCAATGACAAGAAAAACAGAACTGAGTAGCTGTACTCAGATCTCAAGATTATCCTCTTACCTGGCTAAGAGACCCTACTTAAATGGCCCTCTGAGAGCCTCGCTTCTTCATTTCCACAGAGAATACCTACTCTTCATGGTAACATGGAGACTACCATGCAAAGTGTATGAGACAAGCAGCTCAGGACGGAGCACACAGTTAAGAATGCAAGAAATCATTTTCTTCCCACACAAGCAGAGTAGCACAACAGTCTAAAATTCAGAAGACCAAGGGTGCAGAACACTAGCAAATGTCACAGCAGCTCCTAGAGAAAGCATGAGGAGATGCTTAACGAGTTTCTCACCTACTCCTGTATTCTCTTGAGTTTTGCCCCAGAGACCAATAGAGCAAATACAAGAAAAGCCTTGCAGCAAAATGAAGAATAAAATTCCACTAGGCCCAACTCCCCCAAACAGAAATAGTGGCCACGGTCTTTACTACTACACTATGATCTCACAAAAGTCCTTTCTAAAAACAGTGCTCAGTAAGTACCACAGACACACCGGAGACTGAACTGAACTTTTGTAGGGACTGCCGTCCCTCCACTGTATTCTAGCCTCTCTAGACAGACATCACTAACCAGAATGCAACTGAAAAGGCTGTGACTAAGAGAGAATTAAGAATGAACAGTGTCCTG